TAATAGGTACTAGCGGATTTCAAGTTATGAAATAAACTAGAATTATTTAATAAAAAGAAAGTTTTTGAGTAGCTTTAAAATGACTTCATTTTTTGTTTTTGAATGAAAAAAAAAATGACCCTTACATTAAACACGTGTGCGCCGTGCACAAACTCACTCACGCCAATAAACGTTTTTAGGCTTGTTACAACGTACAAGAAAATATTTCTACCGTGGACAAAGGAAGCGGATTACGGCCTGAGGTGGGCATGCACGTGCCCACCTACACAGGACAGCTGGGCCGTTTGCGTGGGAATGTCGAGTTCACCTGTCACCCGATGTGTCAATAACACCCGTGACGACAAGAGTAGTCAGAACAGCGGATATTTGAGGAATGAATAAGTTCCAGGCAGAACACTCTACAAAAGTTGTCTAATTTCATCCTCATGACTATTTCATCTCAGGCAGTAGGACCACCACTTTACGGATGAACAAACCGTGGTAAAGGGTAGAGCTGAGATTCACACTCATGCCGGGTGCCTTCTGGGAATCCAATGGGAGCCTTGTAATTGGATACCTTTCCAAAGACCTACTTAACAGATTCCTGACATTCCCGACAAAGTGAGTTGGAGGTGGGAGAGCTTGATTTATTTAGACAACCACATCCTGCTAACAAGGATTTGATAACATTATCCATTCTGCCTAATTATGCCCTCTGACGTTTACCTCTTCTCCACAGTGGAGTGAAATCAAGGAAAAAAGCCCGAGCAGGAGAGCAAAAACTGAAATCAGGCAGTTCTAACGAATCATATTTTACCTGGAAAGAGTCAACTCAACAAACGGGCTAGCTAGCCGTGTATAAGGCACTGTGTAGAATACACACAGCAAGAAGACCCTTGAATAGTTCATTATGAATGCTGAAAATAAGACAACAGGCTTAAAATGGAGTCACTCATGCTAAGGCCCACGTGACCGAACTGAGACCTACTTACAGTTCTGGTTTCCCCCCAGATGGATTCTTAGAGCAGTCAGTCAGGAATCTCCTCATCAGCTCTAGTGCATAATCTACCTGACAGATCCCTGCTGTCTTCTAAACACAAGTAACTTTGCACTAACTCACTCAGCTTTTTGCCCAGCAGAACTCGCTTGTTCCCGCTCCCTTCTGCGTATATCAGACTTTCTGTTCACATACCTCCTTGCAACTCCTTCCCGTCGGCTAGCTTGGGGGCTGCCTCATGAGCAAATCATTGAATACAGCCAACAAGACGTCTAAAATGTACTCAGCTGAATTTTTTAAACACCGTTAACTTGGAAGACACATATATACACGATTAGTGACTGTAAAGGTGGGATAATTAGCACCATTATTTATTGACCATTTACTACATCCTAGGCACAGCACGAAGTATTTGGTACCATTTAAAAGCCTCACACCAGTGCCAATTATCATCATTTGATACATGTGACAGGAAAGGGGAAGAGACTTGTTTAATATCAGACCATTGGTAAGTAGGGAAACCTTAGTCGATCCAAAGTGAGCTTTACAGCAAAACTCTGGTCCCATGAGGCTGTGCTCTAGGAGAGACTGAGACAGGTACTGTGAAAAAAAAAAAAAAGGTACAAGATCGAATCCCAAGCACATCACACAAAATTGTAACTTGTGAACCACTCGTGACCACAAATAAGTGATCGTGATGTGAACCGTGAGTCACTCACACTTTGGTGGAATGAAAACCTAAGCAAATATGCACATGGGGCTGGGTACTGCAAAGATGTGACGAGTACAGATCACATAGATGTGATTCCAGGGCACAGGGCTCCTGTGGTCCCGTGCACCTGCGAGTTGCATCTAGGACAACTCCTTCTGCACCCGGAGAGTCACTGAGGTACCAGTTAGAAGGATGTCCCATGCGAAGCAGACAGGTGAAAAGGTAGAGATGAGAAGGGAGGTGGTCCCGACCTACCCAGAGAGCTAGCTACCATTTTCCAAGAGGACACTCACTCCTCAGGAACTATTCTCTGCTCAAATTTCCCTAGATCTAGCCTGAAGGTAGGCAGGGCAAAAAACAGCTGCCTGTGACCGTTACAAGTTTTGTGGGGCTGCGTAACATTGTAAAAATAGTCGCTCAGATATACTCGGAGAGCGTCTGCTGTGTTTAATCCCTTGTCTCTGTATCAGCTTAAAGGTGGTCAACTTGAGGTTTTAGGCCCAGTCTCTGTAGCATCTGGCTTTAGAAACACTGCCCTTTTAAAGTCTCTGCAAGTACAATTTAAACACAAATAAAATGATCTTCCCGGAACACCTGGGTGGCTCAGTCAGCGTCCAACTCTAGATTTTGGCTCAGGTCGTAATCTCACGGTGAATTTTAGCCCCACATTGGACTCTGTGCTGGCAGTGCAGTCTGCTTGGGTTTCTTTCTCTCTCTCTCTCTGTCTCTCTCTGTCTCTCCCCTCCCCCCTCGCTGCCCCTCTCCGCCCCTCCCCAGAGCATGCTCTCTCTCTCTCCAAGTAAATAAATACACTTAAAAAAGTAAAATAAAATGATCTCTCCAATACACCGGTCAAGCCATAGTGACCTTCAATCCCTGTTGAGCAAGAAACAGGCTTTTATCAAAAGCCAGACAGATCTTTGGGGCGCTTGGGGGGATTAGTCGGTTAAGCGTCTGACTTCAGCTCAGGTCATGATCTCACAGTTCCTGAGTTCGAGCCCTGCGTCGGGCTCTGTGCTGACAGCTCAGGGCCTAGAGCCTGCCTCGGATCCTGTCTCTCTCTCTCTCTCTCTCTCTCTCTCTCTGCTCCTCCCCTGTTCACGCACGCTCTCTCTCTAAAATAAGGAAACATTAAAAAAAAAAAAGCCCACCTATCTGTAGTCCAGACACCCCTGTAGGTGAAGCTCATTCCACCTCTTCGAGTTCAGCCACCAAAGCTCTCTGGCTCTAGTTGCTGCTACTTGGTGCCAGACGCCTTGAGAAACCGAAAAGGAGCCGGAATCTGTCCTCAAAAATGCAGACCAAGAGATCAGTAGGGAAATACACCAAAAATTATGAGTCTTCTTGCTCCTAAAACCCACAATTAATGTCCTGGCGGAGGTGAGCGAGTGAGTGACGCCAGTTTCCAGCCAGACTGAGAGGCCGCTCAACATGCCGCTTAATGCTGGTCACTCAACGGGTGATGGGCCGGCACCGTGAGCTCGAACACCTCCAAAAAGGACTATTCATTCCCCCCAAATCCATACCTGTGCTGCCTCTTCCATAGAAAAGGAGTTATTTTGGGGCGCCTGGGTGGCGCAGCCGGTTAAGCGTCCGACTTCAGCTCAGGTCACGATCTCGCGGTCCGTGAGTTCGAGCCCCGCGTCGGGCTCTGGGCCGATGGCTTGGAGCCTGGAGCCTGTTTCCGATTCTGTGTCTCCCTCTCTCTCTGCCCCTCCCCCGTTCATGCTCTGTCTCTCTCTGTCCCAAAAATAAATAAAAAACATTGAAAAAAAAAAAAGAAAAGGAGCTATTTTGCCTGAATGACACTGTATGAGAGTTAGGGTGTTTCTAACTGACTTACGGACCGTTCAGTTTAGTCGTCAAGTTTCACAGAAAGTCTATCCGTCAGCACTAACACTTCTTGATGTTTTAAGGGAAAAAAGGTCTTTCCCTAAGCCTATCCATCACCATCCCAACATGCCCAGCCTGTGCAGCCCGTGAACAGTGGAGAACAGAACAGCACTGCACACATTAAAAGACAGAAACAGAGAAACCAAAGGTTCGCCCTTGAGTTTTAACGCTGAGCAGCACTGATGTGTTTGCAGTAACGTAAATCATGCCTGATGGATTATTTTCAAATTAAAACGGGAAGCGGTGTTGCCTCATGCTATTTTTTCATTTATTCTGATGTAGAATTCACTTAGCATTTAATAGCTCACTATTTTGCGAAAAAGAAAAAAAAAAACCCACAGGAGGGGAGACAAAACACACAGTGACTCCATCCGTAGCCCTGGATTCGATTTTGACATCCGTGCTTTGAAGACGGATAAAGACAGACTGAACGGGAATGACGCGTGCTCATGGGAGAATAAAAGGTCACACGCTACGAACACAAGAAGGGTTCAGGGATAGCCAAGGTCACGGACAGGTAAAATTATGGCAATGTCTCCCTGAGCCGAACTCACAGAACCCGGTACTTTCGCCTTTGTTCACTGTTCTCCCTTATTACAGCTTTTTAATAGGCTGCCATCCCTACGAGATTATGAGCTCCCAGGGGCTCGAGAACCCTGTCTGTCTTGCTCACCGTGATATCTACTGCACCGGTCAGAGGCTGACAGTGAGCAGGAACCTTACAGAGTCTTATCAATACCTGACTGAGTAAAGGAGACACCTGATCGCATGTGCCCAACAACGAGAATTGACTACCATGCAGATTTTGACTCAACAAGAGGTTGAGCATTTTCCAACGGCTAGATCCACTTAAACCTGGGAAGGGCTGTGGAGGTGTTAAGCAGAGGTGAGACCATGACTAAGCAGGAGTGTAGCCAACACAACAGTGCCACACTCCTGGGTCTACTTGAGGAAGTTCACGAACTTTACGACTCTTGACAACGCTAGGGCTCCATGATCATGACAGAGACCCCTCCCACGTCTGGGTAATTTCAGCTGAAATCGTCCAGACTCTTCTCTGTGGCTGGAATGACACAGACAACTCTTTGAACTAAAGATACTCAACTCTCACATGCCTTTTATTTGGCTCTGCATTTACCTTGCATCAGCTGAACCAGAGGTAACACTGCGTTACTAATATCAACCATTTCCCTTTTTCTGTTTACTATGCGTAGACCCAAGGGTTGACCTAATAGATCAAAACAGTGCTCCTTACTCCAGAAAGCTTAATACCATGTTGGCCGTAGGGCAGTAATGGAGCATCCCACGGAGAATTAACACAGTTCACCCTCACACCACTGCATTTCATCATAGGAAACGATCTCTGTACTTCGTGAAACCAGTGTCTGCTTTTAATCACAGGGCGGTTAGGATACTTACCACAAAAGAATAATAGATCTTGAATCCAGGTTTAGCCACGAAGTAGTCATCAGACTTGAATGTTATTTTAATTTGGTTTGTTCTTGATGTTATTCTGGGGGGAGCGTCTTTGTGTCCACACCACCGCCCTCTAATTACGGTACTGGTCTCAGATACATCTTCAACTTCCACAAAATCATACCTAGTTTCAATGTGACAGAAATAAACAAATTTTGATTACAGCACGCTTTGACATTCATCCTTCCCCGGAGAAATTAAAAGTAACATATGTGATTTCTCATGACTACCACCTAACATGAAAATTAAAGCCTACAGAAATTTTTACAGGAAAGCCAGTCTTTGGGTTCAGTCTTTCAAATTCAAACGTCAATAATCTGAAAGAACGTTTATGCACATTTAGCCATGAGTATTCCCAAATCAACAGTCATCAAAATGGGCCACTTTCTGAACATCTGGCTTGGAAGGGTTTCCTAGGAAAAGTAATAATTATAATCTGTTGTCCTATTTTTGGAGACCCAGCTTTAATTACATGCACAAATATTTACTATATAAAGGTTTTCAAACCAATTCCCACTTTTAATTAATTCGCCACATCCAGTGGTCCCTTAAGAAATGATCCGTATCTATACAGCATGTGGAATCAGCATTATGTTACATCATCTCATTACAGAAAATAGATGGTAAAATAAAATAAAAAGCTCTCTTCCCTTTTGGAAACTGTCTTTTGCAAGGATCCTATAATAAACTAGGATGGTTATCAAAGTGAAAAGCATTATGATTTGGGGGAGGGAGGTGCCCTAAGAAATACCGGAGGTATCTGGTTAAACCAGGGTGTGGATGAGGTGACGACCATGGATGGTTCGGCTCTGATGCTGGTCAGAGAAACACAGAATGCCAGGACTGAGGAGGTGGGGAAGGCCTCTTTCAATGTTCCATATAACCTTTCCATCACACAGTAGACTCTCTTCAGGGACACAGTGGACATCTTCCAGGGATCATTGACTTTATTTTCAGGACACCCCAAATCTCGGGACATTCTACTTATGAGCTGAACTATCTGCCCTTCAGTTCCGGCCATCAGTCACTCTGCCTCTCCCCGAATGTCTCCGAATGTGGAAGTCACAACGCAAAGGATGGGCACTCTGGGCGAACAGTGGTCGTAGACTCAACCCGCTTGATATGTTCTTCACAACTGCCCTTGCGGGATCAGCACGAGAAACATGGCGGCTGAATATGGACAAAGTCCACCAGGAGGCACAGAGCTTTTACTGGACCGGGCGGGATCGTGTAACGACTGGGCGACTACACTTCGTTGACGGTGATTTATGGGGCCCTTCCGTCCTTTGCCCTCAGTTTCCCTCTGAGCAAAGTAAGAGGTTTACACAAATTCACCGGCTGGGTATCTCTTGGGTGGTGTGTAAATTAATTACTTCATGTTTATGCGGTGCTTGGAAGGTGAGAAGCACTCGCAAAGAATCATTATTCAAGCAATAAAATAGTACAATGTAAACATCAAGGAGGCTTGGGAACAGATGGCAGGAAATCGAGCGCATTGCATTTTATATACAATATGTGTAAATCACAGTTACCGCGCAAAGAATGAGTGTACGCGAAACTTCGTTAATACCACCAAAGGTCACTTTCTTGTGGTTTAAATCCATCAGCGTAGTTTTTCCCTGAGACGAGGTCAGTCTGTCTTTTCCTTCTTCCTGTCCCCTTCCCTGCCTCTTACTCCTCTATCTGCCTCCATGAATTTTGAGACGCAATTGGATTGGCTGAAAGGTCCAGAAAGGAAACTACCCTTAGTGTCTTCATTTTCAAGGCGTGGGTGCTGACACAGCTCCCATCTACCCGGATCAAAACCTCACCTCATCATGGAGACCTGGCTTCCTTTCATGCCATCACCCCTGAACAGTCCTCAAAAAAACTTTTTTTTTTTTTTTTCCCCGCACCAACTCTTTCTCCAGCACAGAAAATCAGTTCTCCCTTTCAAGGGTGACAAGACACAAGACCCGCTGGAGTGTGTCCTCTCTGTAATGTGAGCCGGCTCTTGGGGCACGTATTTGTGTCTGCTTTCTGGCATACATTACCCTCTGTGGTCCTAGAAAGTAACAGGCACTGCTGTTAATCTGGAAGAAACAGCCACACAACAAAAGCTGTCAGCATAATCAACATGCGACAAAGGACAGCCCAATTTGAGGCACCCTCTTCTTATTCAGAGGAAAATAAACCTGCCAAAAGGATGTGGCATTGCAGAACCCGTGCGTGCGGGAAGCACAGAAAGGAAACAAAGCCCTCCCGTCCCCTACATGCTAATTCAGTGACTGCGACGCTGTGAGCAGGCAATTCGCAGAACGGCCAGGGCGCTCTCCGATACACAGGCTTAGAAGGGACAAGATGACCGAGCAGACCCAGAAAAGGACGACAAACGGACCATCTGGGGGGGGGGGGGTGATGTTTCTTTCTTCTCTGAGGCCCAGGATTTCAGGGTAAGGCCCTGACACGGTCCTCACCGTCACCACCTTCCAGTGCGCGGGCTACAACGGCCAGGGTCAGTTCCCGGAGCCCCACAGGGGCTCCTTACACGCTCCGTACAGCCACGTGATGTGGCTGCGGGTATCGCGGGATGCTGGATGCATCTATGTGCTCCCAAAGGCTGCTCGAGGCCCGGCCAACACAGGGGCCCTTCCCCAGCAGCCCGGTGGCCTGGCTCTGACGGGTGCGTACCTGGGGTTCTGTGACCGGGCCCTCTGCAGACAAAGCCTGTGCCCCCTGTATTTTGTCCGCTCGGATCCGGGCGGGTCCCCAAAGGAAAAGCACGACGCGAGGTTTTACATTCATCGGTTCTTCCCCTTGGACGTGACCCCTGACCTGCCTTTCTCCCCACTCACCTGCAGATATCATTTTCCGCCTCCTCTAATCCGAACTGACTGTCAAAGGCCAGCTGTATTCTTGTTTTCTCCTGGGAACGGAGGCGCCACGTCAGAAGCAGGTTCCTGGGGTAGCTGTTGGGGAAGCGAGGGCTCTGCACATGGCCGTTTCCTGTCACCTGGATGGTCTCGTCTCTTCGGTACAAGTCTGTGAGGTGATTGCTGTCTGTTAGTAGTCACAAACTTGTAGAAATTAGTATGTTGTTCCAATTACGAGAAAACAAAAAAACAAACAACAACAACAACAAAAAAAAACACAGCAGTTGAAAACATCACATTTCAAAGCACGTCGCGATTTCGTCTAACAACCTGAGACCAAGCGGCCGCTTTCTGGTTCTTTCTACGCAGAACGGACAGACTCCTTCCCTTACCCCCAGTCCCCTGAGTCCTCACAAGTCTGCACTTGCTGGCGATATTTTGTGATTGGAGACCTCTTTTAACATAGTTTTCGACGAGGCACATGAAGTCACCTCAGGACTCAGGTTCGTTTAGATCGACATTAAAATGCGTAAATAATTTCAAATAGTTCATTAACCCTTCCATTTTTCCCTATGACACAAAAAGTCCCCCAAAAAGCAAAACAACAACTTTCTGTTTTTCTCTACCCTTACAGCATTGACATTATAGCTTCAGCAACAAGCACAGGTAGAACTCCAGAAATATCACTGAACAAATGACCGAGGGAGTGAAAAATATGAAAGGATCCAATGGTGCTTAATGACTGCTCATTTTTAAAAAAATTTTTTTTAATGTTTATTTTTGAGAGAGAGAGAAAGAGTGTGAGCAGGCAAGGGACAGAGAGAGAGGGAGACACAGAATCGGAAGCAGGCTCCAGGCTCCGAGCTGTCAGCACAGAGCCTGACACGGGGCTCGAACTCATGAGCCGTGACATCATGGCCTGAGCCGAAGTCAGACGCTTAACCAACCGCCACCCAGGTGCCCCCAATAACTACTCATTTTTTTATTCAAATGACATTTTCCAGTGGTTTCTGTATCACAAAAATCATTAGTTCTTTGCCTTAGTTTTCGGTGACTTATGGGCCCAGTTCTTGTATTTTCCATGTGTTGTATGATAAAGAACTTGTGTGGTCTTTGAGCTGGGTTCTTGACCGGGAAATCCTACCCACTTAGAACTTCCCAGGTGACTGAAGGGTCTTTGTTATTCACCGTGGGCCCTGGGGCCACATCTGCGTTTACACTAATGAGGCAATTAACTGTGCCCCCTCCCCAACAGTTTCCGGAAGTGGGCTGGCTATACAGTAAGACCAACCCAACCGTGTGTTGAAAGGCAGAGGGTTTGGAGCCCTGACATCAGCCTGACCTCACAACCTCCCTGGAGGAAAGGAGCACTGTAGATGGAGTCTGGTCCCATCAGCAGGCATTCTCCCAGTCCCACCTGCACAATGAAACCCAGGGAAAAGTCTGGTCCTGGAAGCTTGAGTAAACCTCCCGGCTGTTGGTGCACGTGCACTTGCTGGGGAGGGCGCTTCGTGCTTGGGACCCCCCCCCCCCCCGCCCCGCCGCCGCCAGCCCCCAGATCTCACCCTGTGTGTCCTCACTGGGCTGGTCCTGAAATGCACTCTTTACAATAAAACTTAGCAGTAAACCTGTCATTGTAACTCTAGTGCCTTCGTGAGTTCTACGAGTTGTTCTACCAAATCATCAAACTTGACGGGTGTACGGGGGACCCTGACTTGATAGCCTGTTGGTTATGGCACCCCAAAATCTGCAGCTGGCGTCTGAAGTGCAGGGGGTACGAGCCGTGCCCATAAGCCGTGAACTCTGACCTAAGGCTGGGAGACCTGTGTCAGCCTGACAGCCGAGGCGGGTCCGTGTCTACATCCTTCCCACACGCAGAGTTCTTTGCACTTTGGATTCTGGCTGTGCGGACCCTGCCGGTGCTGCATCCAACCACAGTCCGTTTGTGCTTGCCCGCAGAGCGTTTACTCGAGGCCTGTCATTCAGCGAGCCGGGCCAGGGAGGCTTCCGGCGCTGCTGGAAGCCACGGGAAGGCTGGGATGCGGCTGGAGGCTCCCCACGTACCAGAGGGAGGAGGAGGACACAGCCCGCGAGATGCAGAAGCGTCTTGCATGGGAACTGCAGACTTGAACCCAGGATGCGAGAGCACAGCTCTGTGCCCCCTCCGGTGAGCCCAGCCACACGCCCTCCCCGGGAACGACAGACACTCTTCCTGGCTGGCCTTCCCCTCTTCCCTTCCCTTCACCTGACGCTGCAAATGTAGCCATGAAAATTGCCTGTCTGCTCAACTGTCATCTGGGGCTTGTAGGAAACGGGGGAGGGCTGTTGGCGAGGAAGAGAAATGTCAACCATCCACCAGTCAATCAACAGTCAGTCACCGAGCACAGGATCTAAACATGACGTTTTGCGGTGTTTTCAACACTTGCATTACTAGAGATTCACCGTCATAATCCGTGCCGTGTTTCCTGCAGTAGTAGTATTTGCTTAATAGTTCCCTAACTTAGTATTTTTACTTTTTAAGGTCGTTTACTTATTTTGAGAGAGAGCAGGAGGAGCAGAGACAAAGGGAGAGAGAGAATCCCAAGCAGGCTCAGAGTGTCAGCGTGGAGCCCGACGCGGGGCTTGAACTCACAAACCGTAAGATTGGAAGCCGAAGTCGGCGGCTGAACTGACGGAGCCACCCAGGCGTCCCAGGAGATGCTTATTCCACTTTTAAGAAAGCAGTGGTGGGGTTCAGTTTCCTTCTGATACAGTTTGGTTAAGACAAACTGGTTTCCAGTATTACAAATTTACCACAGACCTATACTGCACTGTATTGAACTATATCAACCTGAAAAAAAAATTTTTTTTTTATCAAGTTTCCTGATTTATTTTCCCTTAAAAATCAAAATCCTGGGGCGCCTGGGTGGCTCAGTCAGTTAAGCGTCTGACTTCAGCTCAGGTCATGATCTCACAGTTTGTGAGTTCAAACCCCATGTCGGGCTCTGTGACAACAGCTCAGAGCCTGGAGCCTGCTTCAGATTCTGTGTCCCCTCTCTTTCTGCCCTACCCTGCTCATGCTGTCTCTCTCAAAAATAAACATTAAAAATTTTTTTAAAAAATCAAAATCCTGCCAAAATATACATATACACACACAGGAATGACAGTGACCCCATTTATACTGCTCACTTGGGGCCAGACATTGTTGAAGCTCTTTGCATGTTAACTGTTTACAAATAGGACACTGTATGCGTGTGTGAGCGTTTGTAACAACTCTGCGACGTGGCTATCACTGCCATTCTACAGATGAAGATTCTGAGGCACAGAGAGGTCAAGGAATTTCTTAAAGTCACAGAGCGGGTCAAGGATGGAGTCAGAGCACTAACCCGGGCTCTCCAGCCCCAGACCTGATGCTTTTAACCACGCTTCCTTAGTCTTAAATTTGGTAGACGCAGTTTTAGACTCTTTGCTATCTGTAATCTGCTCTGACTTGTGAATCGCACTGTTTACATATAGTGTATAACTTCATGCTGACTCAGGGCTCTTTTTAGCAGAAGAGTTATAATGAATTACAGTACAGACCCAACATACCGGGTTTACCCCGAAGTACCACCAAGTCTTATAGATGAAGTCACCCTTCTGAATGAGAGCATTTAGTGTGGTGTGCAATCATGCTAACATTGATGGGGCAATTATTACGCGCCAGGCACCCCAGTAAGCATATGATAGTCACTCAATCTTGCAACAACCCTATGATATTAGTAAATATCCCCCACGTGACCGGGGAAGTTCGGAGCATGTAAGAAACTTGTTAGCTCCGGGCACAGAGCTAGTGGTGAATCACAATTTGACCCTAGGCATTGACTTTTCAGAGCACACACCTTTAACCAGAGCGTGGTGGGAGCTGTTGAGCCACAAAAATATGAAACACATCACTTTTCATAGACAACAGTTTCCATGCAAGTTTATATGGCAAGAATGTAACTTCTTATTTTACATTCTCACACAGAAGGAAGTTTACATCCTCATAAACTCTGAGTTATGCATTTCATCTTTTTTTTAAAACCAATTAAAATGGAAAAAAACCCATGCCAAATGTTGTATTTGTTGATTCTGTCCCCAACCCTTTAATTTTTTTTTTCAACGTTTATTTATTTTTGGGACAGAGAGAGACAGCGCATGAACGGGGGAGGGGCAGAGAGAGAGGGAGACACAGAATCAGAAGCAAGCTCCAGGCTCTGAGCCATCAGCCCAGAGCCTGACGCGGGGCTCGAACTCACGGACCGCGAGATTGTGACCTGGCTGAAGTCGGACGCTTAACCGACTGCGCCACCCAGGCGCCCCTGTCCCCAACCCTTTAAACAAACTCAACTCCTCCAACCGAGTGTCAAAGGAGCTCATGAAAAGTCACTGCAGGCCTCATCACTTCTGTCTGGGATTCATCTAGAATAGCCAAGTGGGGTTCCCAAATCAGACTCATTAACATCACCTGGGAGCTTGTTAGAAATGCACATGATTGGGCCCTACCCAGACCTACTGAGGCAGCAAAGCTGGGGGTAGAGACCAGCACTATTTGTTGTAATGGCCCTCCAGGTGATGTAAACTCTCCCTAGTTGGAGAACCACTCACCTTGAGGACCATCTCACATGGTCTACTACTTTGCTTCTTATTCTTGACTTTCCTGGTTCCTGCACCTCCTTGCTATGACTCCACACCTCAAGTTCAGTTTTCCATTTGACCTCACCAGCTGCTGACCTGTTTGGGACGTGCTTTCCTGTCTTTGACCTCGGAGCCTCCTCCACCTCATCATTTCTGGTCCACAGGCGCCTACCCACCGACTCTGTGGGTCAACCCCTGACCTAGCTTTCTCCATTTCATGGAATCGAATCGCC